GGACAGCGCAGGGACACTGTGGGTGGCCTGTATCGATGGCGGCAAGGTCATCCAAGTAGACCCGCAGACAGGTGCGTGACGTCAGGGGTCATACAGTCCTGGGAAAGGTCACGGTGTGTGGTCCAGTGCTTTGCAGGGTGGCGGAGCGTGTTCCTGGGCATGGTGGGGTCACATGCGTGGGTCTTTGGCGCGGCAGCATCACTGTGTGTGACCCTGGGCATGGCAGGATCAGGGTGCAAGGTTCAGATAGGACGCGTCCTACCCTCCATCCTGAGTGGGAGTGTAGGGTGAAGACGTCAGGTTTACAAGCCCTCACGTACCTGGTAGGGTCCTTCCTTCCTCTCTGATGAGCTCCGGGGGCTTGAGATGTGCTAGGTTTGCGACCTCATCCCTTTTCCCTGAGATCTTCCACTCTCACCCTACCAGAGACCCCTGTCTTGAGGATTTGGGGGAGATTATGGGCAGCTGCATGAGTGGGCAGTGAAGACGGAGGGTGGGGGAGAGGGGGCAAGGGCGAGGTAAAGATGGATGGGAAGAGCTTTGAAGATCGGGGAGGGACAGTGAAGATGGAGGCGGGATAGGGTGTGGGGGAGGGGACGATGAAGAGGGAAGTGAAGTAGAGCGGGGAAGCGGGGAGGGCAGCAGCGGGGCTGTCCGGGTGCCAGGGTGCGAGCATTGCAGGCGCTGCTTGTTTGCAGGCTCCTGTCTGCCCGCACTGTGAACATGTCTGTGTGTGGATGGGGGCAATGAAGACGGGGTGGGAGTGAGGTGGGAGGGCAGAGGGACCAGGGGCTGTCCTGGAGCATGGCGGCCGACCTGGGTCCTCCCTCTGCCCACAGGCTTCTGTCTGCGCACCCTGGACCTGCCGGTGTCCAGGGTCACTTCCTGCTGCTTCGGGGGCCCCGACTACGCGGAACTGTACGTGACTTCGGCGGCCGATGGGCTGAGCCCTGAGCAGCTGCAGCGGGAGCCCCAGGCGGGACACGTGTTCAAGGTGAGGGTTAGATCCGTGAGGGCAAGCCCGGTATGTGGAGAAGCCTCGTGGAAGGGGAGCCCTGTGGGTGCACAACCCGATGGGAAGGGAGCCCCGTGGGAGGGCAGAGAGAGCGAGCCTGCCACGGAGGGGGAGGGTCTTGTGCCGTAGATGCCCCCATAGCTGCAGCGGTGGGTCTCCTGACCCACGTGTCCTCCGACCTGACCTCCTACTTCTGCTCAGTACCTACCCTCCCCTTCCCTTGCAGGTCTCGGGCCTGGGCATTTGCGGCCGCCCATGCTTTCCCTTCGTGGGCTGAGGTCTTAGGCACGTGCAACTGTGCCTCCCAGAAGGGTTCGGAAGGCGCCTGTTGCTCCAATGTGGGACCGGTGACTTGCTCACCCCATCCACTGCAACCTCAGCATAACCTTCCGGAATCGACACCTCCTCTTCTTCATGACCTTAAATGCTGCTGTAATGTAAACTGACGTGTGTGTTTGTGTGCATGTTCATGTGGGTGGGGAAGTGGGGTCACGGGTGGTCGCGGGTCTTGGCTGGTGGTGCACAAGGACTCTGTCACATGCAAAGCCCTGGCATGACCTGCACACTGGTGCACTCACCCAGGCGGAGGTGTGGCCGCCATGGCCTGTGAACACACGTCACAGGTGGGCAGGAGACCCACATATCTTCAGGTAGTTCTGTAGGGGATGGGTGGGAGCATCAAATGAGCAGCAGCCTATAGCCTAATCTAGACCTCCCGCATGCTCACACATTACACGCACATGCTCACATACACACAGACAAAGTTACAGGCTTACAAGCACATGCATGCACAGGCATGCACACATGCAGACACATTATACATGCACATAGGCGCTTGTACACATGCCCACTTTCCCAGCGCCCACATTCATACTCTCATGTGTGCACACCCAGACTCACTGGTTCAGACCTGTCCTATGGTGAGCAGGAGTTCTGGGCTAGGGTCGCCTGTGTCTGTGGCCCTCACTTGTGTGTCACGCTATGTCATGCTAGCTGAACAGGCCCTCCTCCCTCCCCCTTTTCCCCTCCTTTCCCTCTCTGCTCTCTCCCTGGCTCCCACCTCACTCTCAAGGAACCTTTGTTAGTCCCACATGGTACAATCTCAATTATGTTTATGGCCCTGCGCGTCCTAATTACAGCACAAAAGAGAAATCGGCGTAAATCACACATGTCACGCCCACGAGCCCGTGTGTCAAGGCCTGACCTGGATTCTAGGCCCAAGTGATTGAGCCATTACAGGTTTCCTGGGACAGGGCCACTTAGCCTGTCTTGAAATGCAGCCCATGGGGCCCAGCAGCTGTGTCACGGGGGAGGGGAGGGAACATGGGTGTCGTGGGGGTCTCCCAACCACCAGAGCATGGGCAGTGTCACGGGGAGTCTCTCACCCAAGGGGCAGCTGTCGGGTATTGCACATATTTCTGGTGATTGACCCCTGCAGGGCAGGGTACTTGTATCTAGACCTGGAACTCCTACTTCTTTGCTGAATAATTAGAAGACTTTTACAGTTGGAAGAAAAACATGAGAGAAATTTGTCAGTTTTACAGTAGCAAACACATCTGAGAGGTGTAGGGAGGGGTTACGGTGCGGAGCAGGGAGGGGTGTAGGGTACAGGGAGGAGTGCAGAGAGGGATGTAGGGAGTGGTGTGGAGAGGGGTGTAGGGTGCAGGGAGAGGTACGGGGAGGGATGTAGGGTGTGGGGAGGGGTGTAGGGTGCAGGGACAGGGTGCACAAAGCGAGAAGTGCACAGGCCTCACCTCAACGTGCCCCTTTTGTCCCTGGGGGTTTCACAATCCTGACCAGGCAGGAATAGACATAGGTGGGTCCTTCCTGTTCTGCCGGTTCAGGGCGGTTAGGATACTCAGCAAGGTGACACAGAGTACACAGAAGAGTACTCAGAAAGGTACTCAGCACAGTTTGGCAGTCAGTACCCAGGAGGACTTAGATACCAGTACTGCACAGATTTTCAGCCTATTTGCTTTTCAGTCAGCATTTACTACCTGTGATGTGTTGTGCATCTGATTAAACGGGGCTGGGAAGCCCATGCTGGGGGGAGACTCTTGTGCAGTGGGAGGTCCATGCTGTGGGTTGTGGGGGAGACTCTTACTGCAGTGGGTAGTCACATCTGTGGGGGAACTGAGTGGCTCCAGTCTAGGGAACTAGGGAACTCTGCTGTCATCCACTTTGGGGCCTAGGACATAATGGAGTTGGTTTTGTCCTTTCCCCTGTGGTGGGGAGACCCCAGCTGTGGGGGGAGACTCTTCCACATTTCGGGCAGAAATGTTGCTTCACAGTCATGTGGGGCGGTTTCAGCCCCCCTTTCCCGCATTTCAAGTTTACCATGGGCAGACCCTTGGTCCCACCCTGTGCTCCTGTGTCCCCTTAAGTCCCTGGGCTGTGAGGACCAAGCAACCTCCTCCCCTCCCCTCCCCTCCCTTCCTTTCCCCTTCCCTAGGACTTGGCAAGCAGGCAACCTCAGTCCCCTTCTGGGGTCAGGGTGAGGTCACCCGAGGGCAGCAGGATGAGGTATCACCCTATAGGACCACAGAACATATGGAACAGGGCCATTGATGTGTTCTGAATGTTTTAAGAGCACCTAGGAGGAGCCCCTGGGGACACCCTGACTTGTTCTGAATGTTCTAAGAGCACCTAGGGGGAGCCCCTCAGGGACACCCATGAAGTGTTCTGGGGGTTCTAAGAGCACATAGGGGGTGGTAAGGCCCTCAGGAACACCAGTAACGTGTTCTGGAGGTTCTAAGAGCACCTGGGGGTAGCCCTTCAGGGATACCCATGGTGTGTTCTGGATGTTCTAAACCTGTAGTGGGTGGGTGGGGTAGGGGGGCATAGGTGGAGCCCAAAGGGCAGGAGCAGACTGGACTCCTACGACCTGCTGCACATACAGTACAAACACCTATCTGTCAGGAGGGGAGGGTGACTGTGGCCATGAGACCAGAAGTTTGAGACCAGGACCATGGGACTTCAGGGTGGAGAAAGCCAGGGGAGGGGAGGGCGGGAAACAAAAGGGAAAAGATAGGGAAAGCAGGGAATGGAAGGGGAAGAGAGAGGAGGGGAGGGAATGGAAGGGCAGGGGAAAGGAGGGGAGGACAGATTGAGTGGTGCTCAGCAACATCCCTGAAGAAGCTGTTAGAAGGGGCCCTAATCATGCGGGAGGTTGAGGATGCAGTGGTTCCTGAGCAGAGAGGCAGGTGGGCCCTGTCACATCACATGGAAGGAGGAGCAGGGCCAAAGTGCAGATCAAACACCCACAGTGCAGTAGGGATTGCAACACACTGGCTGTTTGTTCCCTGGGGCGGCTGGGTCAGCGCCCAGCAGGTCTCCCAGCCTCAGGTCCCTCCTTGTCCCTATCACCCCTTAAGGCAGCCTGTGTGGCCATCCCTTGCTTACCTCACCCTCCTCCAGACAAGAGCCTCCCCATGCCCTGTCACCCTTAACCCTCCAGAATTCCAGATGGGCGGGTCACTGACTGCGGGTGGCTGGGAACTACCCCGGTACCCAATGCAGAGCTTGGTGAGTGACAAGTGACACAGGGTGTCCTGAGGACACTGGCTGCCATGCCTTGTTCATCCCCCACTCCTGGGTGCCTTCCCCTGACTTAGTGTCCCCCCAGTTACTTCGGTATCCCTGAAACTGCTTCTGTGCCCCCCAAATGGCCTCAATGCTCCCCCAGTTACTCGGTGTTCCCCCTAGCTGCATCCGTATCTCCCAACTACCTTGGCGTCCCTGTCTGCTGCTTCCGGTCCCCCAACATAGAAAGTGTGTCCACCCGCGGCTACCTAGATGCTCCCCACCACCCCCACCATTGTGTTCCCCCTTCTGGGTGTCTCCTGCCTGCAACGTGTCCCCCAGGCTAATTCGTTGTCACCTAACTGTCCGCATGTCCCCTACTACCTCCCTGTACCGACGACCCTCCCCCTTCGTGTCCCCCGGCTACTTTGTTGTCCCCCCCCCCATCTGTGTCAATGTTCTCTCTAGCTGCCTTCTGTCATGCAAACTGCCTCCTTCTGGTTACCCTGGTGTCCTGCCTGCATCTGATTCAATGTCCCTCCAGCTGCTCTGTGTCCCCTGACTACTCAGTGCTTCCCCCCTCCACTCCACATCGTGCCCCCAAGCCCTGGCTGCCTCTGTCCCTTTCTGTATCTCAGACACTGGCCTGGAGGGCCTCCTGAGTGGTTTCATACCCAGTGGAGTCAGCTCCATCCAGGCCATACCAGCTCCGCTGGGAGCTCTGCCCTCCGTCTGGGGTAAGAAGGCTGAGCCAATCCTAGCTGGTTCTGTCGCCTGTACAACCCCCAGGCCCGAGGAGCTGGCTCACCAGACAGACAGGGGCTGAAGGGGTGGAGTAGGGGGAGGGTATCCCTGGCTCAGGGCAGAAGAATGCAGGGACCTTCCCTTCACACAGAAGGCACACAACTATGTCCTGACTGCTTGTCACCACGGCTACGCCCCTGCGGGGACCTTCCCTGCACAAAGTAGGCCACAGCCCTGAGGGATTGTTCCTGCACACAGTAGGCACACAAATATGTCCTGAGTGTGCATGTCCTCATCACGGCAGCCACACCCTCGCGGGGACACACCAGCCTGGTGTCCTCCCTCAAATCCATTCTGCTAGTGAAGATCCAGGGAGGACAAGGACGGGCCTCAGGTCAGTGACTGAGTGGACAGGTGGGGAGAGAGGGGGTGGGGACACAGATAAAGGTCTTACTGTGAAGGAGCAGAGATTCCGTGATCCAGGGAGCCACATGGGGGGGCTTCTAGGGAAGCAGGGGTTCCAACCCCACCTTCAAATGTCACATGTCCACAGTGGATGTCCTGTGTCCTGCGCTTCACGGTTCTGCCCACCAAAGAGGGAACAGGGGCCTTTAGTGTGTATGTGGGGGGGGGGTCAACCTTTAGTGTCCTTACCTAGTAAACTGAGACAGGGCGGGTGGGGGCGGTACAGCCTGTATAGAATGACAACATCTCCTTCTACAGAAGGGAAACTGAGGCGCAGCTCAACCGGCCTCACACACACTTGCCCTGTTCCCTGAAGCTGGGACCCTATGGATGGCCAGCTGAGCTGCAGCCACGCAGACTGGATGTCACAGTTGTGCCCGCGGCTGTGGGATGTCCCCCTGCACCACCTGTCCATCCCAGGTAAGGGCAGGCCTCACGGGAGGGATGAAGAGGGTAAGAAAAGGCCATGCTGGGAGGAGCGGTCTCACAGAGGGAGGAGGACCCATGGGGTAAGGGCGGACCCACGCAGGGGCGAACCTGGCTGACTCTCTGTGCCCTGAAGAGAAGAGGACCCTTCATAATGACTAGAAAGGGGATCTGGAGGCTGACATCAGGACAGGAAAGGGAACCAGGATGACATCAAGACAGGAAAGAGGACGAGGTCTTCACGCGTGGATGTTGACACACAGGGGGTCTGGGCGATGCTCCACTCTCAGGGCGAGCTTCTGTGTCCCTGCGGTGTCCTCCATAGCGTGAATGGAGCACGTGCGGCTGTCTGGAAGCCTTTGGGTCCTCAGAGATTCAGACAAGAGGCCCTGAAGGCAAGAATCAAGCGCTTGTGCCCCACGACAGAAGGGGTAGCCCCCAGTGAAGTTTCTAGGAGGGTTGAAGGAGCTGGGAGGACGTGAGCAGGACACGGGAAGCCTGGGTTGTCGGAGACGAGGCCCTATGACCTGCGTGGGTAGTCCGTGGGTAAAGAGGGGTCGTGGAGAAGGAGGACAGACAGACAGAAGGACAGATAGACAGAAAGACAGAGCCCATGAGGGACTCCGTGCAGTCCTTAGGACGGGCACAAGAGTGCATGGGCTTTGAAGTGCATCTGTCCTCAGGGAGCCATGACACCATGACATACTGCCTGAGCAGGAAGTCCCCAATCTCCAGGTCAGAGTCCCGGCTGCTGCACCTACTGGGGCGGGTCGCGCCCTGCATTATGGGGCCCATGGTGTTGAGATGGTCAGTCACACAGGTGAGTGGGGCGTGAGAGAGGGCCCAGGCAGTATGTGATGGACAGGGCCAAGGGGGACAGGGTGAGGAATGGAATGGGACTGAGTCCCGGTGGCAGGATTAGGGTCCTGGTGATGGGCAGGGGGTGGGGAGGGAACTGAGAGCCCCTGGGGCAGGTGATAGATAAGCAGGGGGAGGAGACTGAGTCCCGGGGTGCTGTTCAGGTTTTTGGGTGTCCTGGGGTGTGTGCACGGTGGTCACGATGACACCCGGGAACGAACCCCAACCCGCCATCTGCCCCAGACTCTGGACGTGAAGCAGCAGCTGGACGCAGGGGTGAGGTACCTGGATCTGCGGATTGCGCACATGCAGGGCGGCTCTGAGAAGAATCTGCACTTTGAACACATGATCTACACCACTGCGTTGGTGGAGGTGGGGGTGAAGACCAGAGAAGGGGGGGTTGGGGGAGGGGCAGAATGTATATCATCATGTGTCCTTTGATATCCCCAGGACACCCTCACAGAGATCTCCGAGTGGCTGGAGTCGCACCCCCATGAGGTCATCATCCTGGCCTGCAGAAACTTTGAGGGGATGACAGGAGACTTGCATGAGTACCTCATAGACTGCATCAAGAACATCTTCGGGGACTCGCTGTGTCCACGCGGGGTGAGAAGGAGGATTGTGAGGATTGTGGGGGTCAGGGTGAGGAAGGTGTGGGCACGTGGGAGTCAGGTGAAGAGGGCGTGGGAAGTTGATGTCATGGTGAAGATGGCATGGGCACATGCGATAAGGAATTCGTGGCCGCCCAGGGCATGGGTGCGTGGCCTTGAGGGTGCGTGGGCCGTTAGCTGTCCAATCCTCAGTTTCACTCAACCTGTTCCTCACTCCCATGCAGGACATCCCTACGCTGCGGCAGCTGTGGGCACATGGCCAGCAGGTGATTGTGTCCTATGAAGATGAGACCTGTGTGGGTCGCCACGCGGAGCTGTGGCCTGGGATCCCTTACTGGTGGGGAAACCAGGTGAAGTCCCAGGCGCTGCTGCAGTATTTGGAGACCATGAGGAGCTGCGGTCGCCCAGGTGCCACCTGCGACATAGCTGGAGGGACACTGATGTCACTTGTCAGTCAGATACGGATGGGGGTGTGTGAGGATGTCACCTGTCAGTCATGCACTGGGATATCACTCCACCCTTCCCCCTTCCCCTGCAGGTGGCCTGTTTGTGGCTGGCATCAATCTCACAGAAAACCTGCCCTATGTCCTCTCTCACCCATCCGGGTCCCTGGAGATGCTGACACGGCCCAACCTTCGGCTCCTCGAGGCGTGGGTGCGAGCACAGAAGCCAGGGCCCGGATCAGGCTGCACCAACATCATCGCTGGGGACTTCGTGGGCTCCAACAGCTTTGTGGGTGAAGTCATTGGGCTCAACCAGAAGCTGCAGTGACAACAACCCGAGGGCAGGGGCAGGGTCATGGGGGTCACAGTCAAAAGGATCACGGAGGTCAGTCACTGATCTGTCCTGTCATCCCCTAGAAAAACCTGAGGCCCATGTGAGTCAGTCTGTGCCACATCCTGGTCACTTCTGGTCACACTCCATTGTCCATGGAGGTCACATGACCTGTCACCTGCATCACCTGGCACTAGGTGCCTCTGTTCATTAAAACATTCAGAAGCCAAATGTGTGCAGCAGTGTGTTTATCTATTATAGCCCAGGCTAGACTTTCATGAGGAAATTTTTGCAGCATCTCCCATAGCCCAGCTAGGACTGGCTCAGCCTTCCTACCCCAGACGGAGGGCAGAGCTCCCAGCGGAGCTGGTATAACCTGGACGGAGCTGACTCCACTGGGTATGCAACCACTCGGGAGGCCCTCCAGGCCGGTGTCTGAGATACAGAAGGGGACAGAGGCAGCCGGAGCTTGGGGGCACGATGTGGAGTAGAGGGGGAGCACTGAGTAGTCAGGGGACACAGAGCAGCTGGAGGGACATTGAATCAGATGCAGGAAGCACACCAGGGTAACCAGAAGGAGGAACACCAAGGCAGTTTGTATTTTTACAGTGTCTCTTGTAGCCCAGGCTAGATTCTTACAGGTAAGATGCAGGGGACTCTGATCTTCTGGCCTCAGTTTACACAGGGCTAGGACACTGGGAACCCCAAATCCTAAGCCACAAGTACTATACCCACTGAGCCACACGCACCCAACCACTGAGGTATAAGAACCCACTGAGTTACATCCCCTCCATGGTGGTAATTCCCACCATCTCATACACAAACATAACAGGTGACTCATGACCCTGTGACCTCAGTATTAGTGTATTTTCAGGTCAGAGGGTTAAAAGGCCTCCTCACCCTACCTCCACCCCCTGAAGGTGGACCCCTCCCACCCACTCAGCCTGCAGAGATGCTGTTGTGAAGTCTGTAGCTGAGAGGATGGACACTGGCTATGAGGCCCGACCTGGCTAGGGAGTGGAATGTGGCTTCAGGTATGTCTGTCCATCTCCCTCGGGGACCCTCCTGGCACCATTGTGCCCGGGGTAGCATCCCAGTGTCCTGCAGCTGCCCCATCCCAGAACATGGAGGGGCAGAACACAGAGGTTGGGGGAAGAGCTGCTAGTGTTCGGTCCTCCTGCCCTGGATCAGCCACAGCACCATTTTCAAAACTATCCCTATCCCTCCCTTTCCCAGCAACAGGGACCCTCCCCTCCCCTTCCCCAGTGACACAGAACCCCCCACAGAGTCCACACATCGCCAGCTAAAGAGAGGGAACAAAGTGCAAATTCCACTTTAATGAGCTTTCAGTCAGTCTGGGAGGGAGGAAGGGACAGGACTATGATGTGGCCATGACTTCCCATATCAAGTCCTCAGTCCATCTATGCAGTTGTCACTTAGGAATCAGCTGGGAGAAAGGGGCAGGACTACATGGGGCCATCCACAAACACCCTCCCACGAGCTGAATCCACATCTGGTCCTGGTTGTCACTCAGGGAACAGCTGGGAGGGAGAAAGTGGCGAGACAACATCATGGCCACAAGCTGTATCCACACCCCACTCCAGGCTGTCACTCAGGAAACAGCTTCCGGAACCGGCCATAGTTGTCTTTGCTAATGATAACGGTCATGTGGGCGGTGTCAGTCTTGGGCAGCTCCTGCACCTGCTGCACCTTGGCCTCCTTGTACTGCCAGTTGCAGAGGGACCACTGTGGTGCATTCTGGGAAGCATGCTGATGTCAGCGTGGTGCATGGTGATGAGCAGAGGGTGGTGCAGGCTGGGAAGCAGTGCTGACAAGTGGGGAGACAGCACCATCTGTGAGGAGCATGCTGGGAAGTGTGCTGACATCAGCGTGGTGCATGCTAGGATGCCTGTTGATAGCGGGGCATGTCCGTGGCAGGGAACCAGTTGCATATGTGTATGTGACAGCCCACTGCCCAAGCACCCTGTGACTCACCAGAGCTGGGGTCTCCCAAGCTGTAAACAGAGGGTGAGCCCCCGCCAGCCAGTAGCCTGCAGAACAGATTCCTCCAGCGTCGCCTTCAGCTTGTCTAGCCCATGGCCCAGGAGTGCAGACACACGGCCAGGATGCAGGGTCCTGGGAGGCTGTAGCTATGTGGAAGAGGCTCACTGGGTAAGAGGAACCATGGGGTTATGTGGACATGTGTGGTGTAGATAGGTGAGTTGAGGACAGGTGCAGTGAGAACAGCTGCAGTGAGGACAGCTGCAGTCAGGTGAGGTGAGGTGAGGTGAGGGCAGGTGCAGCAAGGACAGGTGAGGTAAAGACAGCTGTGATGAAGACAGCTGTAGTGAGGGCAGCTACGGTTAGGACAGATGCAGTAACGAGAGGTGCAGAGAGGAGGTGAGGACAGGTGCAGTGAGGACACCATGAAGATTCCTACAGTGTAAACAGTGACACACATGCCTCCCCCTGCCCCACTCACCCAGGAACCAGATCCATCTTGTTGTAAACTTCCAACATGGAGTTCAAGAGTGTCTTGTCTACACCGCAGCTGCAGACCTCGCAGTGTAGACAAGATTCTGGCCTCTGTTGTTCCATGTTGGAGTGGCTCATGTCCCTCACATGCAGGATAACATCCTGTGAGGGGGAGGAAGTCAGGGGCCGAAGTGTCATAGGGAGGGGTGGCAGGGGACCAGGAAGTGTTAGCCCGAGGAACACCAGATGCAGGTGGTCCTAGGGGTGTGAGTATCAAGGGACCCAGGTGAAGGGGGTACTCTGTGGGTGTACCCTACTACATGTAGCTGGTATGCCCCACTGGACATCATGTAACTGGTGTTACCCACTGTGACAGCTGGGAAACTCTGCAGCTGGCTGGCTGGTATTCCCACTGCCCTGGACTGTGTTCCCCACTAGAGGCCATGTGACCTCACCTGACCCCATGATGTACCATAAGCCCCTTCCTTGCTGATCTAGCTGGTCTAGTCGGGCAGACCCACTGCTCAGGGTAGACCTGGGATAAAAATACACGCTTAGTAGGTGTCACTTAATGAGTGTTGGCACTCAGATCCTGAGGTCAGGGCCAAGCCCTCCTAGGGCACAGTGGACAGGATAGGGTGTTAACCACCAAGGGGTATGCAGGTGTCTCTGTATGAAAGGGGATGTGGAGATGAGGAGGAGGTGTGGGGTGAGGAGAGGCGTGGGATGAAGGTGAGTGTATGCTGTCTGGGTTTCTGTTCTGCCTGGTTTCTGTCCTCCCACCAGGTTCCACAGCAGTTTAGCCCCAAAGAAAATCACACAGAGGTCTATACTAATGATAAACTGATTGGCCCATTAGCTCAGGCTTCTTATTAACTCTTATAACATATTAGCCCATAATTCTAGTATATATTAGCCACACGGCTTAGTACCTTTTTCAGCAGAGCAGGTCACATCTTGCTTCTTCAGTGTCTAGACAGAACTCCAGAGAGAACTTCCCTCTTCCCAGAATTCTCCTGTTCCATTGACCTGCCTCTACTTTCTCCCTGGTTGTCCCACCTATACTTCCTGCCTGGCTACTGGCCAATCAGCGTTTATTTAAAACACAATTGACAGAATATAGATAATTGTCCTGCACCAAGTGTGGGATGGCCTGCCTGACCAGGGGTTGTAACAATTTCAGCCACATAAGGCTGATACTTCCGGGTTCTAGGATTCATGCAGGTGCAGACAAGCCCTCAGGCAGAAGTGCCTAATGGCCCCCAGGGATGTTAAAGGGCCTCGTATGATCCACATATGACTCAGCACATGTGTGAGCCCCATCATTGGTGTATGACAGAGCCACATCAACCCCCTGTATGTATGAGTTAGGAAGCTTTTAAAAGCTGGACGCACCATCTTCCTCCCTCTCTCTGCACACTGATTTCCCAGGCTTGTGCATGCCCCCTCTAATAAACTCCTAAGCGTGTTTGTTGAGTGTCCTGTGTTTCCTTCTCATTTTCGCCAGGTAATTTCATTGGTGTCATGAGACTCGGGAGGCTCTCCCACCCTGAGCCCCTCTCCCAGGGTCAGGATCTGGAACAGGGTATTTTTTCCACAACAACCACGTGTTCCATATACCTGAGCACTACTTCTCTGTACACCGCCAGCTTCAATTGATGAGTTTCCCCATTCTGGTCAGCTTAACCATTTCTCTGAACCCAAGGAATTTACTGTTGAGCTTCCAGAAATCTGGTGTTCGTAGAAATGGGGTGACAGACCCCAACCACGGTCTCTAAGGCCACGGTTGAGCCCTTTGCTGACATTCATCTCTGAATTGCTTTCCTTAGCTAAAATCATGTTTGGACAGCCCAGGGTCAGTCTTTCTGCAATGGGGACCCAGGGTCCTTCAGATTCTGCTTTCTGTCTCTTTTTTTTTTTTCTTTTTCTCCCCAGCCATGAAAGGCAGCTCAGTGAGACCTCTGACCTCTGTGGCTTCCAAGCCATCCCAACCAGATCCAGTCAGGCTGTAGCACCCCACCTGTAGGCAAAGAATGCTCTCCCACAGGTCCTGCGGTATTTGCTGCTGATTTACACCCCACCTATAAAGGGAGATGTCCCGTTATAGGCCTTGTGATTTCACCTATGGGTAGCAAGCCATCCAAGCCCATCAATCCAGTCTCCCCTCTGTGATGCCTTTTAGAGACCCTGAAACCCCAGGCCTTAATGCCCTACTTACAGATTCCCACACTTGTCCATCTCTGTTTTTTTTTTTTTAAATGGCCTTGTTATAATTTATATAACAATCTGAAGTGGCCACCTAATGGCACCTTTGATCCTGATACTCTACAGGAGCTTTCTAACTACTGTCAGCGCATAGGCAAATAGAAAAAGATTCCTTACATCCAAGCCTTTTACTATCTAAGCTCTAAGCCTAAGCCCTGTTCTTGCAAATTGTTCATCTGCTCACATAGTCCTGGCTATGCCATCTGAACCGGAAGAACCCTCCACTTCCACTGTGGACCCAGCTCAGCAGGCAGCTACCCCCATTCCTTCAACTCCTACCCCCATTCCTAAAGCCTCTACCCCTGTTCCTTTAGCTCCTAATGCCACTCCTCCAACTCCTACCCCTGTTCCTTCAGCTACTGCTCTGGGCTCTGCAAAGGAATCCATACCTTCCCTACCTCAGCAGACAGACACTTCTGCTCCTTTACTTCCCCCTACCTTGCCACCTCCCTCCGCTTGCTCTTCAGCTCTCTCTTCCCCCCACTAACTACTCCATCAGCCCCACTGGATCATTCTTCCTTTCCAGTGCCTGGTTGCAGCAGCCTCCCAGCTCTGGCACACACCTTTACCCCTCCTCTCACATGCTCACATGCTGCTATGGAACCCAAACCTGACCAAACCAAGCTGGCTGCAGTTCTCCTCTGCAGTTCTCCTGTTGCAAGAAGTGGCCAGCATGGATGAATTGATTAAGATACACATTCCTTTCTCCCTGTCGGAACTCTCCCATATAAAATATAAACTGGGGTCCTATACATCTAATTCTACCACATTACCCAGTCTTATAATCTCACCTTTCATGATATCTATATGATCATATCTAATAACCTACTTCCTGAAGAGTTTGGGAGCAGAGCAGACTATATGCAGATGAGATTCATCAAATGCATACAACACACTCTCCAGGGGTAGAGGCGGTCCCCGAGCAGGAAACTCACTGGGACTATAACACTCCAGGTGGGATTTTAGCTAGGGACTGGTTTTTGACTTGCCTTCTGGCAGGTCTCTGCAAGGCTGCCCTCAAGCCAGTAAACTATAATAAGCTCTCAGAGGTCATTCAAGATATGAAGGAAAATCCTTCTGCATTTTTGGAATGCCTTACTAAAGCTCTGTTACAATATACTAACTTAGATCCAGAAACCACAGAAGGCAGACAGTTACCCATTTTTTTTTCTCAGTGCTACCCTAACATCAAGGCTAAACTTAGACATTTAGAGAAAGGCCCCTTGACCACACAGGCAGAAGTCTTAGACTTGGCTTTTAAGGTGCACCATGCAAGAAATGACAAAGCTATGTGCTACAATCACTGCTATTGCTAGCCATGGTCTTCTGATCGGCTGAGGTGACCACCTGATCCGTGCTGTCTGTGCTGCTCCCTTGCCCCCCAGGGCTTGAGAACCACCAGGCCCATGTTTCAAATGTGGTAGAACTGGTCACTGGGCCTGAGCATGTCCTAATCCTAATCTTGGTCCTGTTGTGAGGAGAGCGGTGGGGCTGTGTCCCCGGCACCCGGACGCCCGCATGGCTAGCTTATGCCCCGAAATATTACATGGAAACTGTATTCTTTTAAACACTGCTTGGCCCATTAGTTATAGCCTCTTATTGGCTAACTCTTACATATTGATCTAACCCATTTCTAATATTCTGTGTAGCACCACGAGCTGGCTTACCAGGAAAGATCTTGATCTGCGTCTGTCTGGAGTGGGAGAATCATGGCGACTGACTGACTCGGCTTCTTTCTCCCAGCATTCTGTTCTGTCTACTCTGTCTACCTAATTTTCTGTCCTATCAAAGGGCCAAGGCAGTCTCTTTATTTAACCAATGAAATTAACACAAAACAGAAGACTCTCCCCCATCATGGTCCATGAGACCTTGTCCAAGATGCCATAAGAAAAGACATTAGGCAGTCAATTGTCCTTGTGCACATAGTGACATGGAGACCTCAAACCCAGAAAATTCACAAGATGACCTTCTAGGTCTGGTTATGGATGAGTGAGGCTTCCCAGACTCCTTTGACCTGACCACAACCATCATCTGTAATGGGGAGCCATGGGTAAACAAAACAGTATCAGGATGAGCCCATCTTCTTTCTCTTGGATACTAGAGCCACATACTCAGTACTGAGGAAATTTTCGGGGCCTACCTCTCCTTCTAGTTTCTCTATTGTTGGGGTGGGGGTCAGCCTTATCTACCTCAGCATACCCCATCACTTAAATGATTTTAGGGGTATTTATCTCACTCATTCATTTTTAGTCTTGCCAGCCTGCCCAGTACCTCTTATGGGAAGAGACTTTTTAGCAAAAGTAGGAGCTTCCACTTCATTTGTTCCTTCCATTAACTTTACCCCAGACTCACCAAGAGCTCTCCTCCTTCTAGACTCCCAACCTCCCAGCTCCAATGTGTCTTTTCCTCTACCAGTGTCTCAGGTGGACCCCCAAGTCTGGGACACCCAAAACCTCTCTGTTGCTAAACACCCTACATTTGCTGTTAAAAAAACCTAAGGAACCTATTGCCAGGTCCAAGACCTCCAGCTCATTAACTCCACGGTGGTCCCTCTTTCACCTATCTGATTTACCAACTTCTTTATATCTCCAATGTCATGCTCAAATTTCCAGTTAACCACTCAAGTGTTATTACAGGGACCATCATTAAACACAGGACCAGAGGTACAAGGATTGCCAAGAGCCCAGATGGTAAGAAACAATAACGAGTTTGGGGACATTCACTGCTCCAAACTCTCAAAACTCACAAAACAGACTTTAACATAACAGGTTTATCACTGACTGCAGCAGTGTCTCCTGGATGTTAAGGTGATACCATGACGCTAAAGAGAACAAGTGCCTTAAGATTTACTTCAGGTGAAACATCGAGGGGGTCTAATAATTCCCCTTTCCAATAAT